GACCGGCTCACCAAGTTAAACGTGTGTGCTGTAAGGTTACGGCATAAGCCGTTAAGCTGAGAGGGTAAAAGCGGCCCTGGTGGCGTAACGGATAGCGCACTCGCCCGGAAAGCGTGAGGTGCGGGTTCGACTCCCGCCTGGGGCATACCTCAGCATTCTTCTAATAATTGCAGCTTCTACAAGCTGAATACAACAGAAATACAGCAAAAAATACCGCAGAAATCAGCTGACTGGGAGCGTCAGCAATTATCGATCGGCGAGAGTCCAGACGGAAGAGTGAGCAGATAGTGCGGCGGCGTGTGTTCGAGCGCAGAGTCAATGTCAGAGAGCGCAGAGGCAATGAAGATAATCGCACAAGGCCTCCGCCTTTCCACCGACACGCAACCGCGGGACCACACGCCGGGGTGGTCATAGGACCGCCCCTACGTCGGATGAGAACTCCACTGTATGACTTTCCGGCTAAACACACACATACACCAACAAGCAAACTTAGCTGATTATATTCAGTAGAATGGTAAAAAGAAAGGGTAAAGGTGGAGAGCGATATGAGGGCGGAGGCAGCTTATCGAGGCGAAATCGTGGTACTCCTAGCAAGTATCCGCGAATACAAGTACATCGTCTGCGATTACGGACCAGGACATGCCATGCAAGGGAGATCTGCTGTACGTCAGATGATGGCATAGTTGGCATACTTTCTCTTTTGGAGTATGATGTAATGAACTGGCGCATGGATACGTCATCACATCATGCTAAGGCATGATGCATGACACGCCAATGACAAGAAGACAGCTCCTTACAATACAAATGGTCATGATCCCTGCAAAGGATGGGGCGTGCGACAGGGCGTCGATTGCAGCGCTGCCAAGGCAGCGTGAACCACCAATGATGTCATCCTGCGAACGCAACAAATGGCGGGAGAGGTTGTTCCAGCTGCGCTCCAACCCACGCCCTTCACGCGCCCATTTCCTTTGCAGGAATCATGACTATACCTTTTCCAGCCAATTTTGCCTTTTTCCAAGGTGGACGACGGGCCAAACAGACAGAAGTCGGAGTGGCTTGTTTCTTTTTATTTTGTTTCACTTTACCTGCGCCTGTCTTCAGATATCATAGAAGAGGTTGTTATACACGCTAGCAGCCTCCTGGTACTAGAACCCCTCTACTTTATCTAATTTTACATCAACAGGTGGACTTTCAGGCTAAACTTAGCGTGCTGCTTCTTCTGATTGTCTCCATTTTTATCGCCTCCCCGGCTTCTTCGTTTGATCCTATGTGCACGGTGTGCGGGATCGTTGTTGGAGAAATTCAGGAAATGGTCGACCTTGGAGGCAGCATTGAAACGGTTGTTATTTTCATCATTTCTATTAGGTTGATCAAAAAGTTTCAAAAAAAGGGTTAAGATTTTTTCTGTTTATTTTACAACTCAGCAAACAATGCAAGCTAATCAACAATATAATAACCATCGTTAGTCATAACATTGTCCCACCTAACGGGCAGGTCAGCGATTCCCTTCTCCCAGAACTGGAGGAGATTGGGAGTCAAAGAAGTCACCGACCACTTGTTCAATGTGTGGTTATTAGTTGACCAATCGTTTTTTTTTTGCTAGGAAAGGCTTTGGGGATAGTATTAGGGTGTCCGGAAAGTTTTGAGAAATTTCAACCAGCTCATTTAACATCTATGAACAACAACAGGAGGTAGGAGTTCATAGTTATAATAAATATTGTCCAACCTATCTCCCTCACCTTTTGGGCGGGATTACCTTGCGCGGGAGCTAGAACTAAGCGAGTACTGAGAGTGAGGGTACGTACGAAACATCTAAGCTAAATTTCCATGGAAGAGGCCGATTGATCTCCTAGTAGAGATAATTTTGAAGCGCGTTCTATCCAGCATAGGATACGGTTCCTCAATCCCAATTTGACCAATAAAGCAGCCAGAACGGTGAAGATGAAATAAAAGACGTTGGGAGGTGTGTGAGCTCGTACATTTTTCGGGTAATGCCAACTCATACCAACAATGGAGAATAACACCAACCAGCATTAAGTTTAATCTACAAACATTTCTCTTTCTAATAGCGCTTGATGTATGACTTGTGCTGGGGCATTCGCTTGCTACACTTCTTCAAACTAACAGTGTGAAATTTTCTCAAAACTTTCCGGACAACCTAATAATCTGAGGTAGCAATATCAGGTGAATAGGGTGGATGTGGAACCGTGTCCCAGCCTAGCTCCTCCAATTTTGCACGGGTCTCTTTACCTATGTGAGGCCTAGCGTTGTCATGGAGGAGGTGCACAAAAGTTCGTCTAGGCCGTTTTTCTCGAACGGCTTCTGCAAGTTTCTGACCAGCGTAATAGGGAGCGGTGACGGTGTGGCCTTGCTTGAGCAGTTCGTAGTACAGCATTCCTTTTGAATCCCAGAAGCAGCAAAGGAGAAACTTCTTGGGGTGGAGGTCGGATTTGGCTTGCGTCGGCGGCTGTTCTCCTCGCGGGAGCCAGGAGAAGGTTCTAGAATGTTCTACCACTACCACATGGTAGATCATTGGTATCGATCAAGAATCGAAAGTTCTGGAACTTTCAAAAAACCCTATCAAAACTTTTTGATCAATATTAGTTGTGTTGTGTGGAGCTCTCGAGGGAGAACGCCGTCGGAGCTCTCATCGGCTGCCAAAGCACGTACCCTCGAGGCCCATTTCAAGTTGTAGGTAGCACAGTAAAACACGGAAATGTACGTATTGGCAGACGTGCCGTTAAAGGAAAATAGTGGGGGGTCGCGCCTTTAGAAGCTTCCAGTCGATTTTCAAGCGATGCGTAAGGATTCGTTGGAGAGACCAGATAAGAGCAATGAGGGAACGTGCACTCGAGTGAAACAACAGACGCAAGTGCAAGGCGGGAACGAGCGCACCCAGATGGACCCACTCGGGCAACGCTCTTTAACGCTCCTCACTCTAAACGTTCCCACTCGAAAATGGTATGAAGTTGCCCTCGCTACCTTCCTGCACAGGATTCTGATTCTTATTAGTAATCGCGAAGTGTGTCGCCATGTTCCTCAGCTGTTGGGTTATAGGTTGGATCTCATTTCTTCGTAGTAGCGGTCTAAAGTAAAAACCTACGTAGACACTCTTCCCCCATTGCCTACCTGTTTTCATTTACGGAGATCTGGACGGTTTTTCCCAAAAAAAACTAGTTCTAGGCTATCAGAGAGAAGTGTGAAGAAAACACACCGAAGTTCATGGTTCGCACTTGCCAAAAGTTTCTCCACGGTCTTACAAAGTTAGGCGACAAATTGAAGGTCGGTTTCAAAATTGTTTTGGGATGATCTCTTATTCCTGGTTTCAACACAGAACGAGTCCAACAACATCGATGTTCGTAATTCTCAAAAATGTTTCAGAAACAGGATCCCGAAGAGCTTTGCGGGACGCTACATGTTTGTGGAGGATCTGATGATGATGAAGATGATGAAGAATGAATATTTTGTTTCCCAGGAATAAATTTTTTGTTTCCCAGAATGAATGTATATTTTCTTCAAAGGTATGATGCTGTGGGCCGCGCACACTGCCTTCATCGCGATCAGGTGAACTAGTGATCACTTGGCCTTGAGCCGTCATAGTGATACATTTTCTATGCTTGCCAAATGTCCTACCTTGTCTAGCGACGGCGTCTGTACACCAGTTGCACGTGGAACGTGTCTTTAGCTCTAGGTTGAGCGCAGTGCGAATTTCTGAGGCACATGCCACGCTGACGGCACATTCTACGACGTGCCATCTGACGGCATATCGCCAACGAAATAGTAACAATACACTATGACAAGCAAACTTAGCAGTGCTCACCAAGCTCTGAGAAAGATGTTGTTGTTCTATTTGTTGTTGTTTTTCCCCAACGTTTGGACAAGTCACACGTGGATCCGTACGGGTCTCGCTGCTTCCACTCTACCGGGTTATAATTTACGCTTAATTAAATTCTGAGGGTACATTTCTACCACCGTATTCAACAGCATACTGTACACCGCCACAGCCTTCTGGACGAAGGCCATCGAGAGATTCTGCCACGCGACCGTGATTCGGTGCCTGAGTTCAGCGAGATCGTTGATTTCTCCGCCACTGTAGACCACCCTGTTGAGCTTCGGGTAATTGAGGGGGTTTAGGTCAGGTGACACACTTGGATATTCCGTCTTCTTCAGGTACTCAACGCCCTTCCATTCCAAGTAGGCGAAAGTTTTTCCAACGCCCTTCGATTCCATGTGGAGGCACCCAATCCTGTAGCAGTACGAAGTTTCCAAGATGGTACAGGCGATGACATGAAGGCAGGATATTCTCCTCGAGTTGGTCGATGTAACAGTCAGCGTTCACTTTCAGACGGCGCTCCACAAAGAAAATATCGCTCTTCCCATTCCAGGAACCTTCATACCATCAACCGCGCCTTGGCGACTGCGGTGAAGATGATATCCTAGACCGTAGCGACGTTGTCGGAGCTGCTCGATGTTGGAGGTCTTCCAGATCGAGAGTACTGGTCTCCAGGTAGCTATCCATGGGTGACTCCATACTAGAAGTTTCGCAGCTGGAGGTGACGTGAATTCCAAAGGCCTTCTCCAGTCAGGCTGCGACTGGAGATGACTTCATATTTTGGTGTACATGAAGGTGATGGGCGAGAGCCAGCTCCTGCTTATCGAGGAACATCTTGGGTATCTTCCGCCCTGGTACTCGTATCCACTTCCTCTGTCGGCTGCGAAAACTTTGCTGATATGTCGGCCGAAGTGACTTTTTTGGCCCCATCTGTAGTTCGCTGCGGACGGTTGGGCGTGTCAGGAGGAATGAGTTTGGCACGGTGCCAAACCCGTTCTCCACCACTTGTTAAAGCGAGCAAGTGATATGACTGTATCATATCGTTCGTATTACTCGTTTTCTACCACTTTTTGTCGCATGCGCGCTTCAACAAGAAGGCAGAGAACGGCTTTGACGGGGTGACACACTCATACTGCCTGACACGCCCAACCGTCCGCAGCGAACTAGAGCGTATCGAAAATTCGCCGCACTATGCGCAATGCGTAAGTTAGGCTGTGTTCATACCTTGCGATGGCGTCCACCAGCGACCTACAAGTCCACCGCCGTTCCAAGCATCCAGTAGCGTCGGCGACAAGGGAAGTATACATATCGGTCAAGCGTCTGCCAGCATCTCTTAGCGTCCACCAGCGATCAGCAGCGTCCCGAGGCTTAGAGGAGTATAGGTATTCGATTTGGCGACAAGCACCGTCTACTAGCCTCACAACGACCGGCATCGTCTGGGAGTGGAGAGAGGGGGTGGGGGAGAGCGCGATAGGAGAATAGCAGGCGGCTGGCAGAGTATAGGGAGAGAGGAGGGTAGCAGAAGCTAGAAGAGTATGGGGAGATAGGATAGCAGTCAGATGGTAGAGCGTGGCGATAGAAAGGTACCAGCTGACTGCTACCCTCCTATCTCCTCATACTCCCCTTTTCCGAACGCTGCTGGACGCTAGTAGACGCTGGATGGACATCTACACTTTCCTAGCCCCTGACGCACTAGTGGTCGATTGGGGACCCTACCCCTAACTATGAACGCAGCCTTCATTGCTGTTACCACAAATTGTAAGGAACAGCCTTCTCCTTCACCACTAACAAAAGAAAACATTTATTGCACAATTCAAGCGTTATGCCATCCTCCCTTATAAAAAATCGTTTCGTCATCATCATCGTCAGAATCGGATTCTTCAGACGACTTCAGACAAACTGTGGAACAAATCTCGTCAGGCGGCTTCCTCTGAAATTTGTTGTGAAAAATGCTGCCACAAAGCTGTCAAATTCAGTTTCATTAGAACCGACTATTTTTTCGCCATCAAGCAGTCTGAGGCCTTTGATGAGTTTCTGGCAAGCTGAGAGCAAGACTTTCGGAGCGTTTTGATCACACTTCTCTCGGATAGCCTGAAAGGGAAGGTTGCAAAAGAGTCTTGCAAAATGTATCGATAAGAAATAAAGGATAAAGTCTTCGCCGTTGATCAATCCCTTTGTGGGATGCGGCACGCATTCTACTTCCATTCAGAATCGTAGTGGCTTATTGAATGCGATGTGGCCTATACAATGACTTGCGGGGGCCAGCCGATGTACAAGTCAGTGTTCTTATCCCAGACGAATCTGGTATAGTCCCGGAGGATAGAAGGCTTGGTTGGCCTGGGCGGGAGTCGACTCGGGATTCGAACCCAGGACCGCGCGAGCAGGTATGCGCGCCACTTGTCACCCTTCCGCTCACCGATGAGAAATAGAGCGAGAGAATGAGCCGGAAGCAAGACGTATGAGTATCGCTAACACTTTATGGATCACCCAAATCATGAGATAGTACATTATTCTTTCCTATTCAATCAAATGCTGGCCCCACGATCAAATGGCAATGTTGAAGGCCATTCAGTAGTGAAGAGGAAACGGAAAAGCCCTCGGAATACTCTTTTTAAGGTTCTGTAGATCCGAGCTGGTAGGAGCGTAAAGCAAAAGGACAGGAAAGGCGCGTGCCTGGACGAGGATTTATTTGTTGGGATCAGCTCTTTTCCCTCATCGAATCACCCTCACCATGCGGAGTGCAGTTTGTAGCGAACCAGCTGCACCACAGCAAGCCCTAAGAAATGAGCGTTGGGTGCGGTAAGGGAATGGCACAGCCTTCCCGAGATTCGAATAGCGTCGTTGTCACGTATTCTTGAGTCTTGCTTGGTTGCGGAAAGGCCTACCTTACCCAGGGACGGAGTGTGCACCCCAAATGAACGCGTAGCGTAGCTTTGAGGCAGCGTTCAGACTTGCGATGGCGCGCGTCGACGCGCTACTAGTGCAACCGCGCTCCAGTGCTATAGACGCCATAGATGGGTGTCGATCTACGCCGCTGCTTTTTCGAATAGAGTACGCACTACCCGAATTTACAGTCTGGTCTCTATTTTCTACGCTCTCCCAAAACACTAGCGGCCGGCGTGTGCTGTCTACTGTCTCTAAGCGATAGCGGCCTTCGATATCCGAGCCGGGAGACGGGCAAGAGAATCGTGAATTGCCGCTTTGTCGCGCGCGGCAATCGGCGCGGCTTCTTAAGTTGCACTACCCTTTCGATTGGATCGGATTTCATGTAGACAAGGACATGGTAGACACTTATGTCTATTTTTGGTCATACATTGTCTATTCTCGACCAATACCACCTAAAATCGTCGTCATTAGCGGGCGCGACGTCGCACGCGACGCCCACTGGCGCGGCGAATTACGATTCTCTTGCCACATACCCATCCGAGCCAACCTCATGCAGTAGCTTGACCAAAGAATTTGTTCTCGACCCTACAACGTTGAGCGCGTTTACAAACATTATGATATTTTGACACCACTTTTCTTTCGAGACTTTTAGCGATACGAACAAAGGAAAAGGCGAAGAGTAACAACCGTTTCAAGGCTTTGTCCTGCTTTGACCACAGTCTGAACGTCTTGAACAACGTGCGTGCACAATTTGCACAAAGGTGTAAATGAAAAGGCATAGGAGACGGTAAAAGTGCTCGAAACCAGGAGGAGGAGCAACACACTAAGATTCATAGCTTCGACGATCTGAAAATCACTAATAACTGGTTGTAGGAACCGCCCTGGGAGTTCCCACCCCTTCAGAAACAGTGACTGATTTCTGGGATAACTCACTGATGTTTTGAGCAACAGAGAGATCTGTAGCACTGCCTTCCAACAGGCTTAACAATATAAGGCAAGTAAGTTCTGTAGGAGTTGTAAGGGTTACGTCCTCCCACACACTTGGCGTTACCACCACCCCTACAAAAGATTTTGAAGAGCAATCCACATCCTGCACGTTTTTCAGGGCTTTGAGTACCCTCAACACAGTTGACTCTACCTTTCAGCTCTGTGGCGAACTTACGAACGATGAGAGCTACTTTGCAAGCGGTTGATGTCGAAGGTAATAGACGAAGTTGAAAGCTGAGCTGCAGCTGAAACTGGAATGAAGTTTATCACAGCCAAATCGGCCATCAATCTTAAATATGGGGTTTGTGCATTATCACAGAGTATCATATCATTAGCACTTACAATGCTCGTTTTGTATTATCCTGAGAGGCGGTTTTATTGAGGATTACAAGCAGCATGCGAAAGAAGGAGGGTAGTACTCTGGAACGGCAGTTTCTCTCCCATGGAGCAATTGCACACACCAATCTTTCTTTGATGGTACTGGTGCGAAACCGAAGATGCTTAGCATTAGGTTGTCCGGAAAGTTCTCAGCGTTTTGTGTTACTATTTTTTGTACATTCATTGCTGATTAAAAACTCATTCTCCCTTGCGTCTCAGTAGTACTGGAAGAGAAAAGAATTTTTTCGCGCTAATCTGATGTCCAAGTTTGCCGTGTTACCACATTGCTTTGATATAACCCCCGCTTTTCCCAAGCGTTTCTGGAACATGTCAAATAGAGCAAACTAATCGGGACGACAGTATTTTCTTAATACTA